AGTATAAATATTTTAATAATATTCTTCCAAACCATGAGTGTCTAATGCTTTTCCATTTCGTTGTGTCTTCCTCAATTTCTTTCATAAGTGTTCTGTAGTTTTCAGAATACAGATCCTTTACCTCTTTGGTTAGTTTGGTTCCTGGATATCTTAACAGTTTTGGTGCAATTGTAAATGGGATTGATTCCTTGATTTCTCTTTGTGCTGCCTCCTGCCTTTTTTTTTTTTTTTTTTTTGTTAGATAACCCTAACAATTTTGAGAAGTACGGGTCAGGTATTTTGTAGCATGTCTTTTTGGGTGTGTCTTGATGTTTTCTTCATGTATAGACTGGGATTTGGGGCTCAGGGGAGGACTAGGACAGTGGTGACATACCATTCTCATCACATCATTATCATTGGTACATACTATTAACAATGATGTATGACTCATAACCTTGATCGCCAGGCAGAGACCATATTTATTAGGTCTCCGCATTTAACAGATTGCTAAGCACAGTCCACACTCCTGTGGAGGAGTGGAATAAGGTTAAGATCTACTTCCTGAAAGAGGGAAAATCTATATAACATATTTGGAATTCTTCTGTAAGAGAGAGTTGTCCCTTCCCCCCATTTATTCATTCAGTCATTTATCTATGTCCTATGTACTTATGAATATTTGCTTTCTGCTTTGGGTTATAATAAAACAATATGTTATTTTGTCCGGTGGGAACTCTTTCCAGTTGCCCATGTCTTTTTGACCTACCCTGTCCTTTTCCCTTTCTGGCAGTATTAGTTCTGGCTTATCATGTGTATTCTCAGCTCCAGCCCTAGAATCTGCAGTTTCTCCAATTAAGCCCTGATTCCTCTTATTGTAGAGAGTATTAGAACAAATACCTGAGTCAGATTGGATATCTACAGTTTTATTAAATGTCAACAGTTCTGAAGTGGTTTTTACTGATCTATATTCCAACTCTATTTGCCAAATTTCTTATAAAATTGTTTGCTGTTTTTCTTTTGATTTCCCACTGGTGTTTGATTTCTTATGGACAAAACGTTTTAATTTGAACATTAGGAGATAACTCTATCTCCTAACAGCTGTCCAGATTCTCATTTCCCTTATTGTGCCCAAGCTGGTAAATTCCTCCACTCCTAAGGTGTAAATGAATATTCTCTATTTTTCCCCCTTTGGTTTGAAGTATTAATGGCTTACTGATTTCCTCTGAGCTTTATTCTGTAAGGATACTAATTTTTTTCTGAATGGTTTACTAGTTTATCCTAATAATCTGCACTGAAATACTTCCCTTTTCAATCACAGTATTCCTTCTGTCATACATAAAATCTTATCAGATTGTCTTTTCCTGAGTTATCTATCCTGCTGGTTTGCTTTGTTTGTTATGGTAGCATCCTAGAGAAGGACTGATTCAGTTACATATTCAGCAATAGAGGGTAAGGCTTTGCAAATGGTTTCAGCCTGGGGCAGTTTGCTGCCCTGGAGACATCCGGCAATTTCTGAAGACACTTTCCCACAGTTGTGGGAGAGTGAAAGTTCTAATGGCATCTAGTGGGTACGTGCTAGCAATGCTGCTGCTAAACATTCTGCAGTGCGTAAAAGTGTCCCTCAAAGAATTATCTGGCCTAAAATTTTAGTAATCCTAAGTTTGAAAAACTGTTACAGGAGATTCCATCAGCGCTACCAAGAAAGAAAATCAGGCAATAGTGTATGAAAAGGGTGGGAATATCCTGTTTTTTAGATTAAAATGTCACTTCTCCCCAGACCTTCTTTTCTCTATCCTTTCTAGAAAAGAATCCCTCCTTCCTTTGTGTTCTAAAGTCCTGGTAGAGCTCAGAAGATTGCCATTACATATTTAGAGGTCCTCCTCTTCCCAAAGCCCAGTGTTCGGTGCAGAGTTCAGTATCAGAACATGGTCACACAGATTGCATTTAACCCTGAATTCCTTGCGCCTAGAAAAATAAAGTGAAATTAAAAAGCAGTGGTACCTAATAGAAAGAGAATGAATGAGATTTGTAGTTTGATTGGCTACTTGACAAATCCATAACCTGGGCAAGTTTCAGGACTATTTTAAGACTACCGAAAATGTTCATAAAGAACCTATATACACTGTAGATCCTTATCAAATGTGGTCATCATTAACATGTGCTGAATGTATATTTTGAACAAATGTGCTTTAATTATAAGGGGCAAACATTTACATCAATAAATTTGCAAATTGAAATAAATTCTCTTAGACCATGGATTCCCATTTTAGTTCAGAGCATGTCGGAATTTAGGAATGCCTTCACAGAAGAAGAGCAACACCAGACAGACAGCATCTGTTTTCCTCTTCCCAAAAATATAAACAAAGGAAGACCATAGAACAAAAAGAATAGTTCCTTCCAGAATAGCATAAAACCTTTGGGAAGGAGGCCAGAGTATATGGTACTTTCTGTCAGAATTGTAGACCTCCTGGAGTAGTAGAAACCCAATAGGATTCAAAACCATACAGATCTTGGCTTACAGAGACACCCAGAAAGGCAAGAGGAAATTTGAAGAAAGTGTGGGTTTATGAAAGCAAAGGGGAAAGAGAACATCAAGAAGTAAGGCATTGTAAAAACAACAATTAGTATAGTATGGCACGCTGTAAGTTAAGTGTGTACATTAACTTCTAATCTTTGCAGAAGTAGGGACTGTTTTCTTATAGATATGACAGTTGAGTCCAAAAATAAATACCTGCTGGGTTTTGCAACAGGGTGGTAATTGGTATGTTATCTCAGTGGAATTCTGGTTGCAAAAGTGAGATTGCAGTGGAGTGTGGAGGAATAATAGGTTATGTATAGAAGACTCTGAAGAAGTTTGAGCATGAAACAGCAGATGTGGAGTAAAGAACATTTATGTAAGACTAGATTTGCGCATGTTTATATGTCAGTGAGAAGGACTGAGTGGTTAGGGAGAAGCCTTTTGGTCCTTGAGAAATTACAGTATTCCTTTGAAGATTCCTCAAATGTATTCCTTTTTATTTCTTTTAAAAAAATTACTATGGAAGCTGTTTTGGTCACATCCTAATCTAGAATCTAGAATATTTCTGCAATATAGTTAAAACACACACACACACACACACACACGCGCGCGCGCGCGCACAAAACCAAGATCCTAAAATAGCTGATTGCTCCCTAATTACTGTAGGATAAAGTCCTGATTTACTATGTAATTTTGAGACAATTCACTTTCTGCTTAAGAAGTAAAATTCCCCTTCTGTACATTTTTATTTCCTTCCTCTTCCTTCTCCAGGCCCATTAGCAAGATTAGAGGAAGGATTTTGGAGTACAGAAAGATCTCAGAGTTCTGTCTGTACCACTTATTAGCTCTCTCTAGCCAGTTGCTCAAGAGATGAGACACTTGAGGACACCATGTAAGTGATTAACTAGAAGTGCCTGTGCTGAACAAGAAACTGAGTAAGGCTCTTAAGCGGCTGATAAATAAGAGGAAAACAGGCCTCAAAATAAGAGGATTTGAGGGGCGCCTGGGTGGCTCAGTGGGTTAAAGCCTCTGCCTTGGCTCAGGTCATGGTCTCAGGGTCCTGGGATTGAGCCCTGCATCGGGCTCTCTGCTCAGCGGGGAGCCTGCTTCCCCCTCTCTCTCTGCCTGCCTCTCTGTGTACTTGTGATCTCTCTCTCTCTCTGTTAAATAAATAAAATCTTTAAAAAAAAAAAAGAGAGAGGATTTGATTGTATTTGAAGAACTGTCGCAGTAGGAGTGAGGGCAAGAAATTGTTATCTGGAAGGTATTAGGAGAGAATGTGTTATAGGAGCCTTCGGGTTAAGTCTGAGTAGTCCTTGCTGATACAGTCAGGAGTGAGAGCATCAGAATGAAAAGTTGGAGTGGAACATGGTCATGGGAGCTGCTGTGAGAGAATGTCACTGATGTGAGAGAATGCAGTTTTGGGTGAGCTTTAACGCAGAACATATCCAGAATGTGTAGTGCTGGGGAGTGGGTGTGAAAGGAGCTTGTGACCTGGGAATGCTGACCCTCACTGGCTGTGTATGGATTTGTGACCAGTGATGACAGGACAAAAAGAGGTAGATGGTGGCCTATTCCAGTTGTGCTTCAAAAGTAATGGTGTGTTGGTGGGGGTGCCATAACAATGTTTTATGGGTTGAGGTATGGGTGAGTTTGGGGAGAGAAGGCATGGGAGGGTTGCCAGTCTTAGGAGTCTGGTCTGTGCTGGGTGATAGATTAACTCTATCTTGTTTCATCCATACCGCAGTTCTCTGGGCGTGATTCTGATCTCCTCTCTTCAGGAGAGTCAGCTGAGGCTCGGAGAGATGAATTGCCTTCATTTCTTATAGCTCATAAGTGGTGGGACTGGGGGTAACTTTGGGAAAGTGGAAGAAAGCTACACTAATCTGTATTAGAGGAATGTTTTTATGACAGTAGTACAGGGCCAGTAAGTACTGAGCCTAACACTGGAGCTTTCACCATGTGTTTGGAGAATTCATCTATATTTTTAAAGGCATTTCATTTTCTAATTTTTTCTATCAGTCCTGTTACTCATATTTTTAATGAACTTGCTCTTTATTTTTTTAAATTAACTTTAGCTCTTTTTTATTAACATATATGTATTATTTCAGGAGTACAGGTCTGTGATTTATCAGTCTTACACAACACCCAGTGCTGACCACAACACCTACCCTCCCCAATGTCCATCCAGCCACTCCATCCCTGCCCCCCACAGTAACCCTCAGTTTGTTTCCTGAGTTTGAGTCTCTTATGCTTTTTCTTTAAGGATTTGTTTTTATTTTAGTGTGCAGTGGAGGGGGCGTGCAGAGGGAGAGGAACAGAGCCTTAAGCAGACTCTACACAGAGCATGGAGCCCTACACAGGGCTCCATCTCCCAAACCTGAGATAATCACCTGAGCAGAAACCAAGAGTCAGACCCTCAACTGACTGTACCACTCAGGTGTTCCACTTATATTCTTCTGACTGTTTTTTTCTCACTGAAGCCTGAATATTGATCCATAGCAAGATGACAGATGGGTCGTCATCTTCCTTCTTTCATGATTTTGGACTGCTGTTGTATTTGGAGGAGCTAAACAAAGAGGAATTGAATAAATTCAAGTTATTTTTAAAGAATGAGACCGTGGAGCCCAGGAACTGCCAGATACCCTGGGCTGAGGTGAAGAAGGCCAAGCGAAAGGACCTGGCTAGTTTGATGAAAAAATATTATCCGGGGGAGCAAGCCTGGGATGTGGCTCTCAAAATCTTTGGCAAGATGAACCTGAAGGATCTGTGTGAGAGAGCAACAGCAGAGATCAACTGTGAGTAATGCTGGGGACCGATCTGGGGCTGGGGGAAGGATGTGCTTCCTGAGGCCCATCAACAAGGTTCTATGAAAGGGACTTGGGGATTATACCATTGTTGGATCATTTGGGAAACCCTGAGGAGGCAGGAGGGTTCTGAGTACTATTACTCAGTCTGGCTCCCTAGCTGGGGGTAATTCATCCATCTTGTACCAGTTAGAATGATTAAAGGAATTGAATAATAAGAATTGCCCCATCTAGTGTTCCTTTGCCTGAACTGCAAACAGTCATAGGCTGCATTAAATTTTAAATAACTTAGAATAGGATTTAAAATCTTTGCTAAAGTATGAGGAATGGGCAAAATATCAAGAGGCATAAGCCGTGTTGATATTTTTTTGTCATTCCTAAGTATGAAATATTACAGATCTCAAAAATTTCTTTCTTGTATTCTTTACAAGGCCTTACAGCTACAAAGTTGTATTCATTATTTCCAGGAGCCTCACCATATTCCTGGGAGGTCCAGGTAGACAGGAAACAGACTTAGACTAGAGTGACAGGATGGTGGGAAGGCCTGGCAAGAGGTCCTGCTCCAGTGCTGTTGACACCACATCACTTTTCCCTTAGCTAAGCTGTGGAGTCTGAGGCTCTCTTGGTTCCCATTTTCTTAAGCCCAGATGTCCTAGAACTGGACCAGCGAGGACCATTCTAACCCCTGTTCTAGCTGTCAGTAAAGCTCCCCTTGTCTTTGGTAAATCTCATGATCCTGTTGGAACCTGTCACAGGGACAGCCCAGACCATGGGACCAGGTGATGCCAGGACACAAGAGGAACAAGATGGTCAGGAGACAGTGCAGGGTGAGTAGATGTGTCCTCTGTTTTCAGATTTGGAAGTAAGTGTACTCTGAATCCCCTTCACCTATTCCACCCATCCCCCCTGGTAACCATCAGTTTGTTCTCTATAGTTTAGAGTCTGTTTCTTGGTTTTCCTTTTTTTTTTCTTTTTCCATTTATTTTGTTTCTTAAATTCCACATAAGAGTGAAACCATGTGGTATTTTTCTCTGACTTATTTCACTTAGCATTATATTCTCTAGATCCATCCATGTTGTTGCAGATGACCAATTTTCATTCTTCTTATGGCTGAGTAATATTCCATTGTATACATACACCACTTATTTATCCATTCATTTATCAATAAACATTTGGGAGTTTCTATGTCTGGCAATTGTAAGTACTGTTACAATAAACATAGGGATACACGTATCTTTTTGAATTAGTGTTCTCTATTCTGTGGTAAATACCCAGTGGTGGAATTACTAGATCATATGGTAATTCTGTATTTAATTTTTGGAGGAACCTGCATACTGTTTTCCATTGTGGCTGCACCAGTTTGCATTCCCACCAACAGTGCATGAAGGTTTCTTTTTCTCCATATCCTCAGCAATATCTGTTGTTTCCTGTGTTGTTAATTTGAGCCATTCTGACTGGTGTGAAGTGATAACTCAGTATAGTTTTGATTTTAATTTCCCTAATGTTGAGTGATGTTGAGCATCTTTTCTTGTATCTGTTGGCCATCTGTAGATGTTCTTTGGAGAGATGTCTGTTCATGATTTCCATTAAAAAAATTTTTTTAAAAGATTTTATTTATTTGACAGAGAGAGATCACAAGTAGGCAGAGAGGTAGGCATAGAGAGATGGGGGGAAGCAGGCTCCCCGCTGAGCAGAGATCCCGATATGGGGCTCTATCCCAGGACCCTGAGACCATGACCTGAGCTGAAGGCAGAGGTTTAACCCACTGAGCCACCCAGGTGCCCCCAAAATTTTATTATTAACATATAATGTATTATTTGCCCCAGGGGTACAGGACTGTGCATCGTCAGGTTTAAACATTTCACAGCACTCACCATAGCACATACCCTCCCCAATGTCCATAACCTAGCCACCCTATCCCTGCCCCCCACCCCCCAGCAACACTCAATTTGTTTTGTGAGATTGAGTCTCTTATGGTTTTTCTCCCTTCCGATCCTATCTTGTTTCATTTTTTCCATCCCTACTCCCCACAACCCCTGACTTTGCTTCTCAAATTCCTCATATCAGGGAGATCATGTGATAATTGTCCTTCTTTGATTGACTTATTTCAGTCAGCTTAATACCCTCTAGTTCCATCCATGTTGTTGCAAATGGCAAGATTTCATTTCTTTTGATGGCTGCATAGTATTCCTGTGTGTGTGTGTGTGTGTGTGTGTGTGTGTGTACACCACATCTTCTTTATCCATTCATCTGTTGATGGACATCTAGGTTCTTTCCACAGTTTGGCTATTGTGGACATTGCTGCTATAAACATTGGGGTGCACATGCCCCTTCGGATCACTACGTTTGTATCTTTAGGGTAAATACCCAGTAGTGCAATCGCTGGGTCATAGGGTAGTTCTATTTTCAACTTTTTGAGGAACCTCCATGCTGTTTTCCAGAGTGGTTGCACCAGCTTGCATTCCCACCAACAGCATAGGAGGTTTCCCCTCTCTCCACGTCCTTGCCAGCATCTGCCATTTCATGACTTGTTAATTTTAGCCATTCTGACTGGCATGAGATAGTATCTCATTGTGGTTTTGATTTGTATTTCCCTGATGCTGAGTGATGTGGAGCACTTTTTCATGTACATGTCTTCCCATTTTTAACTGGATTATTTTTTAGATGTCGAGTTGTAGGCGTCCTTTTTTTTTTTTTTTTAATGTTAAGTAATCTCTACACCCAACATGGGGCTTGAACTTACAACCAAGAGTCAGTCACATGCTCCACAGACTGAGTCAGCCAGGTGCCCTGAGTTGTAGAAGTTCTATATATAGTTTGGATACTAACCCTTTGTCAGGTACATCCTTTGCAAATATCTTCTCCCATTCAATAGGTTGTGTGTTAGTTTTGTTGATTTGTTTCCTTTGTTCTGCAGAAGATTTTTATATTCTTGCGGTCCCAGTAGTTTATTTTTGCTTTTTGTTTCCCATGCCTGAGGAGACATATCTAGGAAAGGGAATACTTTTCTTTTCTTTTCTTTTAATATTCTTCAGGCTATGCTTCAATGTTCATTTCTATTAATGTTTTACTATAAAGTGGATTATTTTGATCTGTGGATTCATATGTATCTTCAGGTCCTCCATATAGTCCTCTTTTTTTCTCTGTAGAGGAAAAGTACAAAGAAAAAATTTCTTTTTTTGTTTTATTTAAATTCAAGTTAGTTAACATACAGTGTACTATTAGTTTCAGGGGGAGAAATTAGTGATTTATCAATTGCATATAACCCCAGTACTCATTACATCAAGTGCCCTCCTTAATGTCCTTCACCCAATTATCCCATCACCCCACATCCATCTCCCCTCTAGCAACTCTGTTTCCTAGAGTCCAGCATCTCTTACAGTTTGTCTCCCTCTCAGTTTTCATATTCTTCCTTCCCTTCCCCTGTGTTCATCTGTTTGGTTTTTTTTTTTAAGATTTTTTATTTATTTGACAGAGAGATCACAAGTAGGCAGAGAGGCAGACAGAGAGAGAGGGGGAAGCAGGTTCCCCGCTAAGCAGAGAGCCCGATGCGGGGCTCCATTCCAGGACCCTGAGATCATGACCTGAGCCAAAGGTAGAGGCTTTAACCCACTGAGCCACCCAGGCGCCCCTGTTTTGTTTTTTAAATTTCACATATGAGTGAAATCATATGGTATTTGTATTAAGAGAACATATTTGTAGAGTGAATCTAATTTTTACTTGCTACTCCAAAGTCATCCTTCTGCATGTTCAGTTTTGTTTTTTCAGTTTCTTATGCAGGTTTTCTGTTTGTTTGTTTTACTTACATTCTTATCTAAACCAGCTGCACTTGGGGTGCCTAAGTGGTTCAGTCAGTTGAACATCTGCCTTCGGCTCAGGTCATGACCCCCGGTCTTGGGACCAAGGCCCACATCCGGCTCCTTGCTGAGCAGGAAGCCCGCTTCTCCCCTGCCTGCCATTCCCCCCTGCTTGTGCTTGCTCTCTGTGTATTTCCCTCTCTGTCAAATAAATTAAAAATTAAAAAAAAAACAATAAATAAACCAGCTGCACTTTGATTTGAGCCGAGTAGAGTGTTCTTAACACTGTAATTTTGTAATTCATAGAATTTGCCTTGATCATGTATATCTTTGGGGTTTTTTTGCTTGTTTTTCCCTGCTATATTCTGACTTAGGTGATGGAACAGAATACAGAATCCAAATAAAGGAAAAATTTTGTATCATGTGGGATAAGAAGTCTTTGTTTGGAGAACCTGAAGATTTCCATCTTGGAGTTGCTCAGGAAGATCAAGAACTGTTGGAACATCTATTCGACGTAGATGTGAAAACCGGTGAGCAGCCCCAGACTATCGTGCTCCAGGGGGCTGCTGGAGTTGGGAAAACAACCTTGGTGAGAAGAGCAATAGTAGATTGGGCCCAGGGCAATCTCTATCAGCAGAGGTTTAGCTATGTTTTTTATTTCAATGCAAGAGAAATCAACCAGTTGAGAGAACAAAGCTTTGTTCAAATGGTATCAAAGGACTGGCCCAGCAGGGAAGGTCCTATTGAAAGGATAATGTCTGAGCCAAGTAGTCTCCTTTTTATTATTGATAGTTTTGATGAACTGAACTTTGCCTTTGAGGAACCTGAGTTTGTGCTATGTGAAGACTGGACCCAGGTACACCCAGTGTCCTTCCTTATGAGTAGTCTGCTGAGGAAAGTGATGCTCCCTGAGTCATCTTTATTGGTGACAACGAGACCTACAGCTTGTAAGAAACTAAAGCCTTTGTTGAAGAACCAGCGTTCTGTAGAGCTGCTGGGTATGTCCGAGAGTGCAAGAAAGGAGTATATTTATCAGTTTTTTGAAGACAAGAAGAGGGCCTTCCAGGTATTCAACTCACTAAGAAGCAATGAGATGCTTTTCAGCATGTGCAAAGTCCCCCTGGTGTGCTGGGCCATCTGCACCTATCTGGAGCAGCAGATGGAGATGGGTGGTGATGTCTCATTAACCTGCAAAACAACTACCACTCTGTTCACCTGCTATATCTCTAGCTTCTTCGCACCAGTAGATGGAAGCTATACTAGTCTACCCAACCAAACCCAACTGAGGAGCCTGTGCCACTTGGCTGCCAAAGGAGTGTGGACTCTGACATCTGTGTTCTACAGGGAAGATCTCAGAAAGCATGGGTTAACTAAATCGGATGTGTCGATTTTCTTGGACAGGAATATCCTTCAAAAGGACATGGAGTATGAAAATTGCTATGTGTTCACCCACCTGCATGTTCAAGAGTTTCTTGCAGCTATGTTCTATGTATTGAAAGACAACTGGGAGATCAGGGACCGTCACCTTCAGTCATTTGAAGATGTGACGCTATTGCTTAAAGCCAACAGTGGTCAAGATCCCCATTTGACGCAGATGAAATGCTTTTTGTTTGGCCTTTTGAATGAAGATCTAGTGAAACAACTGGAGACAACTTTGAACTGTACAATGTCGCTGGAGATAAAAGGGAAGATCCTTCGGTGGCTGGAGATCCTGGGGAAGAGTGAACATTTTCCAACACAGTTAGAATTTCTGGAGTTGTTTCTCTGTCTGTATGAGACTCAAGATGAAGCATTTATAAGCCAGGCAATGAAACCTTTCCAAAAGGCTGTTATTGATGTTTGTGGGAAAGTCCACTTGCTTGTGTCTTCATTCTGCCTTAAGCACTGCCAGTGCTTACGGGCCTTTAAACTGTCTGTAACTGTGTCATGTGAGACGATGTTAAACTCAAGCCACCCAGCTGCACTTTGGTAAGTGGGGAGATGCCCTGTCCCGGGAGTGATGGAAGGAAATTTCATCAGAGAGAGGGGAGGGGACTTTTTTAGCTGAGGTCCCAGAGCCAGGATTACCTTCAGAGTTGCCCCACCTTGAGGCAAGGAGGCCAAACACCAAAACCCATATCAACCAGTTGTGGCTAATGGTGGGAGAAGGACAAAAACTTGCCTGAAATGACTGTCTTGGCCTGAAGGCAATCTCAAAAAAGGGACGTGGCTGACAGCAATTACCTGGCAACCCCCTTAACAACTAGAAATAATCTTTAGTCCTCAGGGACGCATGTGACCTAGCACAAAGTTGGATCCACTGTGGAACATATATTTAACTTTTAAAAGAATGCACTCCAGAAGGACTAGAGACCAGGAATTTCTCGCTGAAGCTAGTTGACACAGGGCATCTGTCTGGTCTCTGTTCCTCTGTAAGCTACCAACCTAGCTCACCTTCCCCATTGCCTAGACAGAGGTCATCCTTTGCTTTGTAGTTCATGAAAGGTCTCAGCCCTTTAACACCTAACAGGAGAGTCTGATTTGGATAAGAAATAGTAGGAGCTGAATGAATATTTTGAAAGAATAAATGAATCATTAGCATTTGAAGCCTATTTTACCTTCTTCCCTTCCATGAGTTCCTTTTCTGACTCTATCCGTCTATGTCTAAGGGAAGAATTGAATTATGGGATTAGCTCTAGATTTAACTGAAATTGAGGGCTTACAATGTGACATATAGTTATATAGCACATGGGATATTTAACCAATTATCCAATTTGATGCTGGTCAAAAGCATATCTCTATTTTTGGGATTACAAAACTGCGATTCACAGTAGTTCACCTAGAAAGTAAGTGTACCATTATTGATTCAAGCACACATCAGACAGTAGCTAGCATCTGCTTGACACATGCCCAGCAGTCTTCTGAGTCTCAACTCAATGCATCTCTCAACAATCCCAGGAAGATGCTGTTATTTCCATTTTACTAGTAAAAACCCTGAGGTACCAAGAAGATATCAACTTGACTGAGGTCAAACTGATTGTTAAGTCCTTGGTTTTCCAACTTGACCCACGTTGCCTCACCATCATTACGTACAGTTGCAGAACCATGTCTCTTATAAGGACCTACATATTTCTCTTCTGCTGTGGGAGTAGAATCATAGGCTGGGATGCTGTGATCTTTACTGTCCTTGGGGTATTGTAAATAATCTCGTCTGTTTTCTCAATTCTGACTTAGTGGTTCTGATCAGAGCTGTGATTTGGACCCAGTGCATTAGAATGTATTTTATGCCTAATAATATTAGGAAGGCATTCTGGCCATTATATTGCTAGTCCTCATGCTGCCTTCCCCTCACCTGTGTCCTAGTGTTACCTAATATTAGAGCTGGCATTGTTGCTAAATTAAGTCTGAGAACCCAGTCCTTTAAGAGGCACATTACAGGTGGGTCAGTGTCTTCTATAATATAACAATGTTGTAAATTTAACAGCATCTCTCCTGTTCACCATTATATCCTATGGCATTTCTACATAGTAAGCACTTAAATGTTTGAATGATTTATTGCCTAGTTTTATCAAATTTAAGACCTCAGGTGATGTAGAGACAGCACTCTGCAATGTTATTCAATCCAAGGTAAGTAAGATATGGGAGAGTCAGTATTTATTGAGTAGTGATGGAGATCAGGATATGCCACCCCTAAATATGCCACTTTTCCATAAGAAGTATTTTTTTAAGAGTTTATGTATTTATTTGTCAGAGAGAGAGAGAGCACACACAAGCAGGCAGAGTGGCAGACAGAGGCAGAAAGAGAAGCAGGCTCCCCACTGAGCAAGGAGCCTGATGTGGGACTTGATCCCAGGACCCTGGGATCATGACCGGAGCCAAAGGCAGTGGCTTAACCAACTGAACCACTTAGGCATCCCCATAAGTATTTTGAGCTGAAGGCATATGAGTTCCTGAAACACCTCACCTGCCTAGAAGCAGAGCCTCCAAAAAGAACTCAACTGTCTTAAATCCCCTCCCTGGAAGCAATTTCTCTACTTTCTTCTTAGAGACAGAAGTTGACCCCATAACCAGACAGACACTGTCATAAACTATCATGTCTTATCTGTTTTCTTTAGGGTACATTTATCTTTCCAACAAGTCATTTGTTTTTCCACAAGTGACTTTTCTCCCCCTGCCTTTTTCCTGCTAAATTAGCTATATAAACTCCAAATTCTACCTACCCCTTTAAGTTACTCCTCACTAATTTCACCCACGTGTATCCACAATGCACATGCTAATATAACTGGGATGCTGTTCTCTTATTAATCTGTCGTTTGTCAGTCAATTTACAGGGCCCCTCTAGAAGCTAGGAGGGCACAAGGAAAAAGATACTTCTTCCCTCTCCTACAGCAGTTGTTTGTGTAAAGCAACATGCTAGATTTTTATATATTTTAATATGAATAAGGGCAGCTATCAGTTGTAAGCCTTTACAGTGGAAAACATTTGCCAAGCGTTTTCTATAGATTGTCCTACTGAATCTTCACAGTAATCCTAAGAAATCGATACCATTATCTTCATTGTTCAAGGAGCATCAGTGGAGACCTACATAAGTTAGTAGCACTGCCAGAATCACCCATGTTAGCGAATGGCAGAGTTGGGGCTCAGGACTGTTTTGTTCCAGAGCTTACGCTTATAAGGCTATCCTGTTTTGTTCCTTATTAACCTTTGTTTATAACGAGCTTATTGAAAGTATGACTAATACTTACAAATCTACAGAGTGCTTTTGTGTGTGCACCTGACTTGACTATTAGATCCTCACAATCCCATGAAGGGAGATGGAATTCCCATTTCACAGATGAAGAAAGCTCAAAGTTCATAGCACTGATGTGATTTACCTAAAGTCAGGTGTCTAGTACACTGGAGAACTGCAGCTCGTAACCTGTGGTTCTTTTTTTTTTTAAAGATTTTATTTATTTATTTGACAGAGACAGATCACAAGTAGGCAGGCAAGCAGAGAGCGAGCAAGAGAGAGAGAGGGAAGCAGGCTCCCCACCGAGCAGAGAGCCCAATGCGGGACTCAATCCCAGGACCCTGAGATCATGACCTGAGCCGAAGGCAGCAGCCCAACTCACTGATTCACCCAGGTGTCCCGTAACCTGTGGTTCTTAACCTCCATCCCTGTGTCTGGATCTCTACCCACTACTCCTATACTCACTCTTTGTGGGTCTTATTTTTCTTCTTGATACTGGCTTTTTGGATATTTGAAGACCTCTGTCGTCCTTCCTAAGTCTCGTCCTCCAAAACAAAGTCTCTCTAGTGTAACTTTGTGTGTTGAAGGGGTGAGGGAGTTTTTGAGCAAACAAAGCCTCCTGGAGTGCCAAGAGGAAGACTGTTGGGGGGACTGTTCCCATGCCAGGCTGGCAGTGGTGCACTCGCCATTTCCAGAATAGCTTACTTCCACCTGATACCATCTTCTGAGATTTGCATGGGCTGAAAGAGCTACACCTGTCTTTTTTTTTTCTTGATTGTTTAGGCAAAGGGATGGTGGTCATATTACTCATTGCTGGCAAGATCTCTGTTCTGTGCTTCGTACAAATGAGCACTTGAGAGAACTGGAACTGTGTCATAGCAACCTCGGTGAATTAGCCATGAAGACTTTTTATCAAGAACTGAGGCATCCAAACTGTAAACTACAAAAACTATTGTAAGTTCGGCATGAGAACACTTAGTGGAGTTATTTCAACTTCTTTCTTTGTCCCACCTTCTGCTGCTACTTATTAGGTAGATCCAGTGATAAATACTTAAAGTCCACTGTGTAAAATACTCTAAGAACACCACAGTGGAAACCTCTGGGGATGTGGGGGCATAACTAGCTTCTGGGAAAGATTGCATGGAGTGTAGCAGCTGTCGACATGTGGGTTTTGAGGCTTGATAAGGAATTTCCTAGATGAAGAACAACAAAGAGATAAGGCATTCTAGGCAGTTCAACAGCAATTTCAAAGGTGAGTTCTGGAGCATACTGGTTTATTTTTCTATTGAGTTGTTTACTTTAAATACACAGATGTGTCTCGTTTTTGTTTTGTTTTATTTTGTTCTTTGGGTTTTTTTTTTTTTTTGATGATTGTGTACACCTAGTGACCAGTATTCAAAATAAGATAGAAAACATATCACCTGAAATTTCCTTCTACCCACTTCTGTTCAGTTTGCTTACCCTATCCAGTCTCAGGAGCAACCCCTTTCTAACCTTTTATTGCTATAGGTTAGCTTGTTCTGTTCCTGTAAATGATTGCGATTGTTTCATATGGTCAGTATGTACTTGTTGTGTCAGTATTCTTTTGCTCAACATGATACTTAAAAAAAAATTACCCATGTAGGTAGTTGCATGCTTCAGTAGTTCATTATTGATACGCATGCCATTGTATGATAGACCGACTCCTGCATTCTCTTTTGAATAGACCCCTGGGCTGTTTCCAGTTTGGCGCCATTATGAATAAGGCTGCTAGGACTATCTTCGGACACATTTTTTTCTGTGTGACACAGGTTTTCATCTCTTGGGCTAATATTTCGGAATGGAATTGCTAGTTCACAGATGGGTGTTAACTTGTTGGGAAATTGCCAACTAGCTCTTGAGAGTGGTTGTACTATTTTTCAGGTTTACCAGCAGTATAGGAAAGTCCCTGCTGCTCCTCATCCTTGCCAACATTTGCTATTTCAGTCATTATTACGTCTTAATTTGATTCTACAGACCCTATCACTTATTTACATGGGCTGGTTTACACATCTTTCCCCTTGTCCACTGACTGTACTGGGGGCTGGAACTGATCCTACTTACTCCTGTACTCATTAGTGCTCGTAACATGTGTGTAATCGGTGCTCAGGAATATGTACTGAGTGTTGAACAAATGATTAGCACTGGAGATTGATGTTCTTCTTTGGGGTGGGGGCAGGCTTCCCCCTAAGTATTTTTCTTGGAACCTCCATGTTTTTAGTGAGATTGTCCTTAGGTTCCAAGTAATCAGATTTGGCCTGGTTTTGCATGTAGATATGGTAGGTGACTGCGCAGAAGTCCTGATTAAGGGGTTCCAGGAAATCCTCTTCCTTTGCCCCCAGACATCTCCCCTACATTTCCCTTTCCATGAATGTCACCAGTCTAAACCCCTAACAAGAGCTATTGCCTTCTTTTGGGCTAAATGGATTCCTCTTCTAGTATGTGACGGCTCCATGGGGGAGGACACCATGAAGGTGGCTTAGTCTTTCCCACCATAGAGTGGCCTTCCTTTCTCAAGTCCCTTTTCCTTAACACATGAAATTGCATTTTCAGTTTGCATTTAGTAAGTACATTAGGCATTATTATCAGATGATGATGGCTAGTGCTGTACATAGGTGAAAGTTTTGTTTTCTTATGCCTGGCCTGAAGGAGAGTGAGGGTGAGGGGTAGGTGGTGGGCAAAAGGGAGGAGAGGTGATATTACAAAGGGATGTTTTGAACAGTTAGCAGTGTGAACATGCCAGGCATTGGGGGCTAGCAGAGGCACTTAAAGAACAATCAGATATAGCTAACAGTGCCTGAGTAGCAGATAACTAGGAAGAAAGATGGGCATATTTAACTTAGCTTTGGGCTATCTCTGTACATCTAACAGAGTCCATGAGATGACAGCATATTTTGCAGTAATATGTTTTGCTAATGATGCACATCAAACACTTGATATTAACTATGAACTCACCTTGGGTTATTTAAAGGATTAAATATTGTGCACTGGGGTGCCTGGGTGGCTCAGTGGGTTAAAGCCTCTGCCTTCAGCTCAGGTCATGGTCTCAGGGTCCTGGGATTGAGCCCCGCATCAGGCTCTCTGCTCAGCGGGGAGCCTGCTTTCTCCTCTCTCTCTGCCTACTTGTGATCTCCATCTGTCAGATAAATAAATAAAATCTTTAAAATAAATAAATATTGTGAACTAATGTGTAATTGAAATATTTGTAATATCCCCCATTATTCCAGTAGTTTCTATTGAAATTGAGTTCAGAAACTCCCCTTCTGCTTTTCCTGATGTTACCACCTTCTTTTTCTCCAAGGTCAAAATAAGTTGAGAGTATCAGTTGTCAGGATGTAATGGACATCTAAGTTGTAACCCAGCTGTTGTACTAAGCAACCTCTTGAAACTGATTTATAACCACCCGTGAAATAAAAGAAACTCCAAGTAAGATAAGAAATGACAGGACTATTTAGATATCAAAGAGTTGGATTTGAAGATCAAGGGAATGCTGTAAATAGGACAGAGATAATTTTGTAATTCCTCCTGCATATTTTTCCTCTGAAGGTTGAGATTTCTTTCTTTCCCTGGTGGTTGTCAGGATATTGCAAATTCTTTGACTGACAACCAGAATCTGATGCATCTTGACCTGAAAGGGAGTGATATAGGAGACAATGGAGTAAAGTCATTATGCGAAGCCTTGAAACACCCAGAGTGTAAACTACAGAATCTGAGGTAAGTCGTGAGTTATTTTTGTTGTAATTGAGACTTTTATCCATCCAAATAGACATTTGCTGTTCATCAGGCCAGCTGCAATTTATTTTCACAATATCGAATAGCAGAAATCAGTAGATTCAGGGTGATTTCCTCCTGATTGGACTTTTAACTGGTCCCATTCCCCTACTGAAGACTCCCCCCTTCCCCCCATTGTACAGTTCCATCTCTCCATTTCCTAAATTTAAAAAACCTAGAATTTATAAGGATTTAAAATTTTTCATATTTAAGTGCAGCCATATGTGTATTCATTGCATCTTTGAATGCTTTCAGGAAAGAATGCACTAATGGTAAGGGGTGGGGGCAGTGATAAGCACACTCAGTCTTTTTTTTTTTTATTTATTTAATTCATGCAAGACAGAGAGGGAGGCAGAGGCAGAAGCAGGCTTCCTGTGGAGCAGGAAGCCCCATGGGATCCCAGGACCCCGGGATCATGACCCAAGACAAAGGCATGCACTTAACCAACTGAGCCACCCAGGTGTTTCCCCTGCCCTCCCCCCGCCCCTTTTTATCATTCTATTGGGGCTGCTACAACCAAATACCACCGACTGGGTGGCTTAAACAGAAATTTATTCCTCGGTTTGGAGCCTGGAAGTTGAAGATCAGGGTGCAGACAGGATGCATTTCTGGTGAAACTTCTCTCTTAGGCTTGTAGATAGACCCTTTCTCAGTGCCTTCACGTGCCTTGTGTGTGTGTGTGTGCCCGTGCCCATTCCTGGTGCCTCTCTTATAAGGACACCAGTCCTGTTGAATCAGGAGTCCCCACTTATGACCTCATTTAACCTTAATTATCTCCTTAAAGGCCTTGTCTCCAAATACAGTCACATTGGGAGTTCAGCCTTCAACATGAATTTTGGGGAACACAGTTCAGTCTGTAACACTTTTTCAGGGCAAGTAGGGGTTTTCAGCCTTAGGCTGTATCCTAAGTCATCCACTGAGGTCTAATTCGGGACTGAGGAGGGAGCTTCTCTTTCCTACCTATGTACACCTTTATTTTGAGGAATATATCCTGAGGAATATATCCTGAGGAACTGAGTTGATAAGTGCTTGATTCAAAGAAGTAACTAGAGCAACTCCAAGTTCCTGGAACCTGCTTCCCCCTGCCTCCTCTTACTAAGAGCTGGTATCAGGCCCTGCCTTCTCCCAGGACAAGCGGTCTCTAAATATAGGAGTCTCTAAAAATGTGGGCTCTACATGCACTTCTTCCTTTCTTCTTCTGCTCCCCTCCTTTACTTATTTTTTTTTTAAAGATTATATTTATTTATTTGACAGAGAGGGGCACAGCAGGAGAGGGAGAAGCAGGCTTCCTGCTAAGCAGGGAGCAGGATGCCAGCTGGATCCCAGGACGCTGGGATCATGACCTGAGCTGAAGGCAGATGCTTAACAACTGAGCCACCTAGGCGCCCCTCCCTACTTTATTTTTGAAACTGTATTATTTCTGATTCACTTCTTGTTTTTACTCTCAAGGACTGGGTTCCTCATAAAACATGAACTGACTCCCATGAATAAGTAAGTGGGCTATTACTGTGGGAATCACAGCTTGTGCTCCTGACTTCTGCCCATTTGTTTCAGAAGTCAGAGTGGTAGGACACAATGCCCTTCAGTCCACCTTCCATGTTGTATGTAGTTGGAGGAAATGTCTCCTAGTTTAAAAAAAGATTATCATTTAAAAATATTTTTAGGGAGGCACCTGGGTGGCGTGGTCAGTTAAGTATTCGACTATTGATTTTCCTCAGGTCATGATCTCAGGGTGGTAGGATCAAGCCCTTCAGCAGAGGGTCTTAAGGATTTTTCTCTTTTCCCTCCCCCATATGCATGCTTTTGCTCACTCTCAAATAATAAATACATATTTTCATAGGGAATAGGGGAGGTGGGGATAGAAGAGACAAACCTCCTACCCCTCCCCTTCCTGGTTATCAGAGCCCTGTACTAGTTAAAGAACTCACTCCATGGAGGGAAGCTGGTCTTCAGAATGGGTCACAAAGCCTGGGAGACAACACCCTCTAGCTGGTGAGTGGTGGTCATAGCTCTTCTCTGAGGAGGGTCCTCTGCTCTTCTGCGCGTGTTTTCCAGCTTGGAATCCTGCGACCTAACTACAGTTTGCTGTCTAAATATCTCTAAGGCTCTCCTCAGAAGCCAGAGCCTGAGATTTCTGAATTTGTCGACCAATCACCTATTGGATGATGGGATCAAGCTGTTGTGTGAAGCCTTAGGACATCCCAAGTGTCACCTAGAGAGACTGTCGTGAGTTTTGCTGATTTGTTTTCCTGGGGTCCTTTGTGCGGTCCTGGCGTGGCTTAGTGAAGAGCTGATAGGGCAAACTGCATGGGCTTTGACACTACTTGGCTCATTTGTCAAGCCTGGATGAACTCTACATGAAGGCTGTCTTTGCTTCCTCTTCTGTTTGGCTTTTAAATGCTGCTTTTCTTCATGACTGCTTATTTTTACTGTTTTCCTCCTTTTCTTCTTTGTACATAGCTGTAGTGGCATTTTGATTCTATGGTAGAGGTATAGGGGGTGTAAGTACCAACTAGTGTACCTGAAAAGGAGAGGAGAAACAGGAACTTTGTGATTTGACTGCTCCCTTTCTGTGTTCCTCCTTCAGCCTAGAAAGCTGTGGTCTCACAGTAGCTGGTTGTGAGGATCTTTCTTTGGCTGTCATCAACAACAAAAGGTTGACACATTTGTGCTTGGCAGACAACATCTTGGGAGATGATGGAATAAAATTTGTGACTGATGCTTTGAGAAACCCACAGTGCAATCTCCAGAGCCTCGTGTAAGAGTCTACTAGTGTTCATCCTTCTGTGTATACTACATTTTGAAATATATTTTATTTTTTTAAAAGATCTTATTTATTATAAAACACAAGCGGGGGAGGGGCAGAGGGCAAGGGACAGACTCCCCACTGAGCGGGAGGCCTGATGCAGAGCTCCAATCCCAGGACGCCAATATCATGCCCTAAGTGGAAGGCAGACACTTCACTGACCGAGCCACCCAGGCGCCCCCTAGCCACTTGGTTGTCATGGGACATTTCTATCACTGCAGAAAATTCTATTGGACAGTGCTATGTGAGACCTGACAGAGGAGGAATTCAGTACTTCACAAATCAGAACACAATAGCAGTTCAACTGAAAGGTCTCACATTTATTTCTGAACCAACTTAGTGAGATAAAGGCATAGTAACAGAGAAAAATCATTTCCCTGATAAAACAGGTCTATTGGCCAGGTAAGAGGGACGTTAACAGAGTGATAGGATAGGAACATGTTGGGGGGAAAAAAGGAACATGTGAGCTTCATGCAGCTTCAATACATGTGCCATCTCATGAAGTGTGATGCCTTACAGACCCAGCTTGGTTCTTCTCCAATGACGCCTCTTGGAGTTGTACCTGATTTTATTACCAGTTTTCATCTGAATCCACTGGGGAATGGGACGATTCTGCTTTTGTTTCTTGGCCAGGAATCGCTTGATTCTGAACGTCTTGTGAGAAGACATGGCGAGGAACAGTCAACCACACACCAGGATGGTAGCAAAAAGGAGGGAAAAGCTGAAATATATTTTAAAAGGGAGAATGTTATCAACATACTCTGTCCCTTGCTTTTTCCCATCTGTTATCTGTAATGATACGACAACAAGGATGATGGTGTTAATAACTGCCGTGTATTCTTCCTCTGTGCTGGGTCCTGTGCTAAACTGGTTTAATCTGTACAAAAGTACCTGATGGTGTCAAATTGGCCACCTGAGTTCTAAGTGCCTTACTGGACGGTAGGAAATAGGAGGCTTAGAAAGATTATGTAGCTTGCCTAATGCTCATAAGAAGATGATGGATTCAGGACTAAAGTCTGCCTGTCCAGCTCCATATTCTGGGCTTAGAACAGAGGTCTAATATGATCACCATTAAAGAGAAAGGCAGCATCCCATGGTATGGCTGGATCACAGTGTGATTATTTTCTTCATGGCTCTTAGACAATTTTAGACATGGAACTGCTGAGCCAAAACTCTTATTTTGTTAGATATGGTTAAATTTTCTCCAGATTATTCATATTTCCTCAGCAGTCTAGAGGCCTACATTTTAAGATCTTCACTGGGTATCTACTTTTTTTTTAATCAATATTATTTTCTTTAAAGATTTTATTTCTTGGAGCGCACAAGCCAGGGGAAGCCGCAGGTGGAGGGAGGAGAAGCAGACTCTCTGCTGAGCAAGGAGCCCTATGTGGGGATGACCCCAGGACCATTATCTGAGTGGATGGCAGATACTTAACTGACTGAGCCACCCAGGAGCCCCTTATCAATATTATTTAGATAATTAAAGATAACTAAAAATAATTTGATGTTGAGCATCTTTTCAGATGTTTTTGGCCTTTAGTATTCTAGGAATTATCTCTTCATGGATTTAATTTTCCTCTAGATGTTTTCTGTTATGTATGTTATATAATATGGTTATTAATAAGCAAATAGACCTTATAGCCATTATTTTTTATATGTTGCAAATAATTTACCTAACATGTTACAGCATTCCTAACTTTCTTATGGTCATTTTTAGAATACAGAATTTTAAAATTTTTGTGAAGTCAAAATCCTCCTCATGACCTCTCAGTTTTATCATAATTGGAAATATCTTTTTTCAAAAAAAAAAAAAAACTGTCACACACTTTATGGTTTAATTTTTGAAATGTTAAATTATTCCTAATTCGTTATAAGGCTTATCCCATATGTCACGTCTGCCTTCCCAAATTATTTATGGTATAATAGATCTTTTCCCTACTGATTGGAAATGCCACTTTTATTATGTACAAAAATACTTTTCTGTGATTACTCCCATTCTGTTCCAAATGCCTGCTCTTCTGTTCCATGTAGCTACTTCTGCAGTTGGGCCCTATATTTGTGCCCAGTGTAAAGAGGCTAACATTTCATTTATAGTAAGAAAAATTCTGAAAAACAAGGGTGGAGGGTATTTGATGAGATGAGTGCTGGCAAATAGATATAAGGTACCAGAGCATGAAATCTTCCCAAAGATAAGAACCTCTGGGCAGTAGCAGTGATTCCATCTTCACTCACACTGTCCTTCCTACAGGCTGAGGCGTTGCCACTTCACTTCGCTTAGTGGTGAACATCTCTCATCCGCTCTCCTGTGCAACAGGAGCCTGACACACCTGGATCTGGGGTCAAACCGGCTACAGGATGATGGAGTAAAGCTTCTGTGTGATGCCTTTCGGCATCCAAGCTGTCACCTTCAGGAGCTGGAGTAGGTCTTTTGTGACCTTTCTTTGGGTGCTTTGACTACTGTGAGGGTAGGGGAGATGAGGAAAGAAGGGATGAGCTGAGTGTGTGTCAGAGAAAAGAATAAACAGCTGATTCCTTCTCTCTCACCCTGCTTGAGACAAGCTGGGGAAGTATGTTCATCAGATTTTTCTTAAAACAGTTAATACAGTAATTCAACCTCCCTCAGGGAAGGAGGACCAGAGACAACAGACTGAACAGCCATTTTATATATTTTTTTGGTTGTACCCCAGTGAGTCTACTGTGTGTCCTCTACCTTACATCCATGAGGCAGAAACTGTGCCCTACTAGTTTTTCTTTCAGGTTCAAAACTAGGTCAACTTTTAAAAAAACAGGAAGGGAATTTTTTTTTCTTTTTGGAAAGAGTATGTATGCATGAGTGGGGAGGCTGGGACAGAAGCAGAGGTAAAGAATCTCAAGCAGACTCCATGCCACACGCAGAGCCATACATGGGGCTTGATCTCAGAACCCTGAGATGGTAACCTGAGCCAAAATCAAAGAGTCGGATGCTTAATGGACTGAGCCACCCAGGTGCCCACTAGGAAGGGAATTTCTAAAAATGTTCAACAAGCCACTCATTAAGCAACTGTTTTTATTACTATGTTCTCTTATTCTGTGGGTGGGTATTTACATGTGTGGTATGTGTATATGTAATTGTTATTACTGTATAGATAAGACTTGGAGGTTTCCTTTTCATAGGATAGTATTTCAGAAATATTTAAATACTTATATGCTGTTATCTTATTGGATATTGAATATATCCTATATACATTCAATATCTTATTGAATAATGGATGCACTATATTTAGTATTTAATATTTCATTTTGTAAATATTGTGGCTAGAGTGAAGCAACATAGAGGTGTCACTTAGTGATCTCAGCTCACTTTCCCACCAGGGCCTCCCCATAGGACTAGTCACCTGGGTGAGTTATTAAGGGTTTAATCTCCAGCATTGTTTTTTTACAACTATAAACTCTAGATCGTTTGACTAGACTAGACTCAGGGTAATCAAATTTCCACAAGAGTTTAACAGTTGATTGTTACATTGGTAAACACCAAGTTGATTGAACTCTTGGGTCCAATAAGTACCTTTACTTTCTTTAGGAAAACATACACAATGTGATTCTCTGAAGCTTCCTTGATTATTATTCAACTGGAAGACAAAATTTTACTTCATGGAAATTATTGTTATATCCACTACCTTTATTTTAGCCACAATTTCTAAGTGACCTATACACACAAGATGTTTGCGTAGTCTACTTTCTCTCTTTAACATTGTAAGCACATAGACAAATTTGTGCTCTCTTAGCTACCTTCATAGCCTCTATGCAGACCATTGCCAATTCACTCAACTAAAATTTCCAACAAATATAAGCTATATTCTGAGGGCATTAAAAGTTTTTACTAAGGTGATGCACTTGCCCTCCAGTAACTCATAAAATGCTGATGGCAAGGAAATAAAGACAAAGCCAGTTACAATGTATTCCACATATTCTTGTAAGACAAAAGTCTCAAGGAGCAAGGAGTGGGACAGAGGCTACTGAATTACCTTAGCCTTGAAAGATGAACAGGATTTTGTGGTGTGCAGATACCCTTGGCAGAAGGTAGGAAGAGAGCAGGGACCTGAAGATAGGTGTGGAAGAAAAAAAAAAAAATAGATGGGTATGCTTGATGAGTAGGATGGGGATGAAATATGGAAAGTGAACACTTGAGGGCAGATTCTGCATGCTCTCGAATGCCCTACAGAGGGTTGAAAGAAATAACTTCTATGTAGTTATGCTTCTTGGAAAACAGCACTTTAAGATAGATTCTTGGAAAGTATTTTTATTTCAAAAATATATTAGAAACTAAAAGCACGGAGATCTGTGGGTTCCTTGGATAAATTTCTATCTATTTTGTTTGTTTGTTTTGAGAGAAAAAAGTGTTTATACCCTTGATTTGGAAACTTGGTGGGTATAACTTATTTGTGGGAGAAAGCAGCTTTACCCACTGTTTTGTTTTCAGCTCATTAAGAAATCCCATGTGTTTCTTCTGGTAATGTTAGACATTCTTCTGTGTGTTCTGGATTGTGGGGAGAAAAGGGTCAGGAAAAAGGCTTAGATACATCAGCTTCTCTCCTAGGAATAATTTAATTAAGCTTCACAACTGACAGTCTCACCTCTTTTGTATTTCTTGCAGATTGTTGGGCTGTGTTCTTACTAGTACGTGTTGTCTGGATCTGGCTTCTGCTATTCTGAACAACACACACCTGCGGAGCCTGGACCTTGGACACAATGACCTGCAGGATGATGGAGTAAAAGTTCTGTCTGAGGCTTTGAGACATCCAAACTGCAATATTGAGAGGCTTGGGTAAGTTCAGTTTTCCATTAGGAAAATGATACCGATTTGGTGGCCTGCATGGCTAGAAGAAATTTAGTACATGAGAAAGGATGATAAATGGGACAGAAGGTAAGTTACTCTCAGAAATGAGAATCTGAATTTCAAATATGTGGATCACTGTGTATTATGTGCTGTTAGTATTGAAGCCATATTTCACAATTCATTGTGTCCTCCTTAGTGCCCTGGACAGAGTATATATTAGTATGTATTAAGTAAATGGTACCTGCTTTAAGGTCTTCCCTGTTCTATCATCCTTCAGATATTCCATCTCTCTTTGAATTTTCTAATTAAAGTGAAGATTTGGGGGTACCTGGGTAGCTCAGTTGCTTAACAACCCGACTCTTGATTTCTGCTCAGGTCATGATCTCAGGGTCTTGCAACCAAGCCCACATAAGGCTCCACTCAGGGTGTATGCATGAGCCTGCTTAAGATTCTCTCTATCTCTCCCTCTTCCCCTCCCTCGCCCTCACCTCCCACCCCAGCTTGTGCTAGATCTCTCACATGTGCACTCTTTCTCAAAAAAAAAAAAAAAATCTGCTCATTGTTTTTAATCTGGAGAAATGCTATCTTTGCTGGTTTGTTTGTTTGTTTTGTTTTTAAGATTTTATTTATCTTAGAGGGAGAGCATGAGCAGGAGAGGGGCAGATATGAGTGAGAGGGAGAAGTGGGGGAGAATCCCAAGCAGACTCCAGGCATTGAACCTGACACAGGGCTTGAGCTCACAACCCTAAGATCATGACCTGAGCTGAAATCAAGAGTTCGATACTTAACTGAGTCACATAGCACCCCACTATTTATGCTTTTAAAGAGCCTGTGGTCTAATAAAACCTTATCCTATGTTTTGAGTACTTTTTATGTTTAATCATATATTGTTTAGATGTTTTTTAAATCTCAAATGGATATTGTCTAGTATATTTTTACTTAAATAGTGTGATTTATTGATCTCTGGGTCAAGAATTTTGCTCCATATGTGGGAAACCCAAATATTCTATGTCTCCCTGACTCTTACAAGAAAATGCTGCTTTACTTTACCTATGTGTCCATTGACTGTTTATATATTTTTTTCTCAACAATGATGATACTGTAACTGTTGGGTCTGGAATTTATTTTTATTTTTATTTTTTTTAAAGATTTTATTTATTTATTTATTAGACAGAGACCACAAGTAGGCAGAAAGACAGGCAGAAAAAGAGGAGGAAGCAGGCTCCCTGCTGAGCAGAGAGCCCAATGCAGGGCTCCATTCCAGGATCCTGGGATCATGACCTGAGCTGAAAGCAGAGGCTTTAACCCAGTGAGCCACCCAGGTGCCCCTGGGTCTGGAATTTAATTTTATCCTGCTTATAAACCTAGTAAACTAGCCTATCCATATTTCCTGGATACGGGCAGGAAACACAGAATCCCATCAGAGACTGAGGACTTTATTACTCCTTGCATGGCAGCATAAGCACTAGTGTTTCTGTGTCCATTTCCTCTGTCACCCAAATCCCAGTGGGTGGATGTGGACAGCATGGATGGACACCTGCACATGGTAGTGGGTTGCATCCTAGGAAAGAAACATGGAACTTGGGAGACCCATCATTTTATAGCAGGCACTAAGCAAGCCTGCTCTTTGTCCTGAAGGGAGACATTACCTCATCCCTCAATGCTGCTCACAACACACACACTCTAGAAATGACCTATATGAAGAGTTCTCAGGGTCTTGCAAAAGACTCCCTGAAATAATTCATCTCTCCTTTTTCTGCACAGTACAGTCTCGGTTAATTTTCACATGGATATGCCATTCCACTGGCCACTCTCAATTAATCTGACCAACAGAAGCTGGGGCCAAATCTCATTAACTTGTCTCCTACACAGTTTGATTAGGGCCACTATCATTAGCACTCCAAGCATAGGATGAGGTCAAATTGTAGTGTTGATTTCAGCTATACCCTCAGCATCCTGGACTCAGCCAACTGAATGAGACCCAGAGAGTACCAATTGGCCTTGTCATCTATTATAACTCATGAAAGGGGGTTTGGGTTGACCTGCTGATCTTGATATCATTGTAATAAAGGGGGGGGGGAATTGGCCCAAACCAGTCCCATCCCCAAAAAAGAGAATTCAGTGGTCCATATCTTCACATAAAACAAACATATAACCTGAAGAAACACAGCTCACTCCAGTGTGGAATCTGTTCTTCTATTGATTTGGGTCACCATTACAGTGGTTTGGTTATGTCAGGTAGGTAGGCAGTGTCACTAAGTAGTTACATATGCCTTGTTAGCCATACATGGCATAACTCAGCTGTACTGGCATCAGGTGAAGCTTATGAATTTGTACCAGTCAGACTGAAACAAGGTTGTACTGATTCTGTTTGTACCCCTGTGATAGGGGTCCAGGTCTGGGGGCTGCCATCGATGACATCACACAGAGCAGAATAGTTAGGACCTGCCATGTCCACTTGAGATTTTCTATTTTCATAGCATGTGGACAAACTTGGCAGTGGGTCAGGTTGCCAGCTGCAGCTGCTACTTAAGGAGACCACATCATTTTGCCAGGCAGTAGTGTTGGGTCTAGAGAAGGAAAGGAAGTCATTAATTGTTCTTCCTACTCCCTGCACCTTCAGGTTCTGAGATGTTCCTTCCCTGGGTATTGGTGTCACTGCCCTTCCCCACAGTCGTGAAATAGGTGTGTCCCATCCCATTGCCTATAACTTGGCTTTTTCTCCAGTCATCCCCTAAAGATCTGCCCTATGTTCATCTGTTTTGTTTCTTAAATTCCACATGAGTGAAATCCTATGGTATTTGTCTGTCTTTGACTGACTTATTTCCCTTAGCTTATCTCTAGCTCCATTCACGTTGCAAATGGCTAAATAATATTCTGTGGGGGGAGGGGGGTGTGTGTGTATGTATATATGTGTATCACATCTTCATTACCCATTCTTCAGTTGATGGACACTTGGGCTCTTTCCATAATTTCACTATCGTTGATAATGCTGCCATAAACACCAAGGCGCATATATCCCTTTGAATCAGTATTTTGGTGTCCTTCGAGTAAATACCTAGTAGTACAATTGATGGATTATGAGATTAAAAAAAAAGGCAAATATAAAACAACCCTTAATGATAGAGAACAAACCAAGGAATGATGGAGGGAGGTGGGCTAGATGGGTGATGGGTATTAGGAAGGCACTTGTGATGAGCACTAGGTGTTGTATGCAAGTGATGAATCACTAAATTCTACACCTGAAACAAATACTACACTGTATGTTAACTGAAATTTAAATTAAAAACTTTAAAAAATGTTTATACACAGAAAAAAATAAAGATCTGCCAAGTTCACATTTTAAACATTTTCACTATGAAATATAAAATACATACAAACAAGCAAATAAAACTGTTTAAAAAAAAATCATGTGCATAACCTCACCCAGGTCAATAAACTGAATTCACCCAGGAAAGTAAATTCCCCTACTCCTCCCTTATAAATTGCTTCTTCCTTCCTCCCCAAGAAGTAAACATTATCCTGATGTTTGTGGCCATCATTTATTTAACCGTACAGTGACTGCAAGTGTATATAGCCCTAAGCAATATATTGTTGAATTTTGCCAGGTTTTGCATTTTATATACAGGGAATCCTACTCTATATTCTTTTGTGTTACCTTTTTTTTTTTTTTTGCTCATTGTTAGGAGTTTGTCATCCAGTTGTTTCATGTAGTTGTAGTTAGATCATTTTTATCACAGTAAAGTATTCCAGTGAATGACTGTACCACAAACAATGTAATAACCATTCTATTATAGGTGGACTTTTGTATTGTTTTCATTTATTTTTTGACCAGTGCTGTTGATGAATATTTCAGTAATGAATTCTGAGGCACATATGTATATATTTATCTAGGGTAAATAGGGATAGATTTATTACATAATGGGGAAAAGATCTTTAAATTTATCAGATATTATCAAAAAGACTGTACTAATTTATTCTGCCCTTGGTGGTGTGTGATATAGTTCCTGTTCTCTGTTCTTGCCATTTTGTCTGATTTTATTTTTAAAGTTTAGGTTATTAGGTGTGTGTTTAGGTTATTAGGTGTGTGTTTTAGCATCTTTGGTTTCAATATGTGTCTGGTTAGAGGTTTGATACTTTTTCAGATGCTTAAAACCCATTTGTATTTCCTCTTTTGTCAAGTTCCTTTTCCATGTATTTTGTTCATTCTTCTATTTGGTGAGCCAGTTTTGGCCTTACTGATTTGTAGTTGTTTTTTTTTTTCCCTCCAGTATATTCTGGTTATGAACCCTTGTCACTTACATATGTGACAATAACTTGGGCTTTTCTTTCCACACTGTATGGTGTCTTTTATGGAACTAAAGAACTTAATTGTTAACATCAGATTATTCTTTTACTGTTAGTGCTTTTTGTAATTGTTCAGGACATTTTTCCCGACACTGGGAAATTCTAAATTTGGAGTCAGGACTCTGAAGACCTTCTTCTATTTTCTAAATGTAAAAGGCAACTTATGAAGCATTTGAGTTTTTTTTTTTTTAAGATTTTATTTATTTGATAGAGATCAGTAGGCAGAGAGGCAGGCAGAGAGAGATGGAGAAGCAGGCTCCTTGCTTGTGGAGCAGAGAACCCGATGCGGGGCTCGATCCCAGGACCCCGAGATCATGACCTGAGCCGAAGGCAGAGGCCTAACCCACTGAGCCACCCAGGCACCCTAGCATTTGAGATTTTAAAATATGGTTGGAGGTCTGTCCAGTTTAATATTTTTTCTATGTGGATACATCTTTTCTGGCAAAATTTAATGACTCTCTTTCTTTCCTCACTGTTTGGCAGGGCCACCTTTGTTATAAATCAGTACATTGGTGCATGGGTCTGTTGCTGGGTTCTCCCTTCGCATTTCCAAACAAAATTTTAAATATTGGCTTACCAAGTTACACACACGTGCACGTGAGCCTCCCCATGTATCCACACCTACACATAAAGGTGGCATTTTGATTGGAATTGCATTGAACCTATCAATTATGATAGATCCTTATTTACGTAGCTATATCAATAAAGCTTAGTAATTTTTCCTGTAGTGGCCCTCTGTTTTGCTGTTTAACTTTATTTCTAAGTACTTGTTATATTGCAATAGTATTTGGAAAAGGGTATTTTTTTTTTTAACGATTTAATTATTTGACAGAGAGCACAAACAGGAGGAGTGGCAGGCAGAGGCAGAGGGAGAAGCAATCTCCCCACTGAGCAAAGAGCCCTATGCAGGGCTCCATCCCAGGACCCTGGGATTATGACCTGAGGCAAAGGCAGATGCTTAACCCACTGAGCCACCCAGGTTCCCCAGAAATGGGTATTTTTGTTGTTTTTTCGTTTTACTTATTCCTTATAGATAGAAACACAGGTTTTTGTATATTAATTTCATATCCAGTAGCTTATCACATCCTGCAGTTAATTATAATTGCTTATTCGTATTTGTTTGGATCTTCTAGGTAGAGTCCTCTCTTTTGAGAATAACAGGGTTTGGGTTTTTTTTTTTCCCCCTTTTCTATTCTTTTCCTTTTTTCTTCTTACTGCCTTAGTATCTTGTAAGACATGTGATAGAATGTCTGGAGATACTGGGCTTTCCTGTGTTATTTTCAGTGTCAAAAGCAAAATTTGTCAAAAGCAAAATTTCAATGCTTCTCTTTTATTAATTTAAGAAGGTTCCTATCTTTAGTTTGCTAAGAATTTTTTATTTTCTTTATAAATTATGAATACATGTTGAGATTTATGAAATGTGTCAATTGTGGTAAATCACACTGATTTTTATTATATATATTAGATTGGGGGTGGGAGGCTCAAAACCAACTTGGTCATGGTATCTCATATACTTCGTGCACTTAATTTTGTTGATAGAGGACTATTTTAACATCTTTGTTTATAATGGAGATTAAGTTATAATTTTCTTATGCAGTTCCCATCAAGTTTTGGTGTCCAGATTACAGTATTTTCAAAAAATGAGTTTGGGAGTGATCCTTGTTTTTCTTAGGAGGGTTTGAGTAAGATTAGAATTATTTCTTCCTTGAACTTTGTAGAAATTTCTGGTGAAGCTATATGATCTGGAATTTCCTTTGTGTGGAGATTTGACTTGTGATTCAATTTTTAAAATGATCACACATTTATGTAAGTTTCCTCTTACTGAGTAATTTTTGGTAAAATTATTCCTATGATTTTATCCATTTCAGCTAAATTTTTAAATCTCTTGGCAAGTGTCTGATATTTTATTGTCTGCTCAACTTCTGATCATCTCCAGTGATTTAGACATCTGCTGATATCTCTTTTCCTGATATTGACAGTTTCAGCTTTTTCTCATTTTACTTTTCAAAGAATACAACATTGATCTTCTCTAAGTGTATATTTTTTCCTTAATTATTTTAACTTATTTCTCCTTTTGAGTTTATTTTACCTTTTAAAAATTTTTTTTTACTTATTTATCAGAGAGTGCACATGCATGCGTGTGCACCCTGGAGAGCACAAGCGGGGGAAATGGCAGGCAGAGGAAGAAGCAGGCTCTCTGCTGAGCAAGGAACCAGGTGTAGGACTTGCTTTTAGGACCCTGGGACTGTGACCCTAGCCAAAGATGCTTAACCAACTGAGCCACCCAAGCATCCCTATTTTACTGTTCTTAAATTCTTGAGCTAGATGCTTTGCTCATAAATATTTCCTCCTTTTCCAACACAAGGGTATGACTTTTCCTTCAAATCATTGCATTAACTCCATCCTGTAATTAATATTAAATGTAGCATTTGTTATTTTTGAGTCTAAAATATTTAACTTCCCTCATGATCTTTTTTCTTCAATCCATTGGTTATTTTAAAGTGTATTCCTTAATTTTCAAACACGAAAGGGGTTTCTTGTCATCTTTTTTATATTTAATCTCTAGGATTGTGGTCTAAGAACATATTTTGCATGATTACAGTTCTTTAAAATTTGTTATTTGCTTCACAACCCTAAAAAATATAGTCCATTTTTTAGACATGTACCATAACGCACTTAATATGAAGAGTTGTTGGTTGCTGTATTGTATGAGTTAATTAAGATTGCTAATTCCGCTATTTAAGTCATCTATATTTTTAGTGATTTTTTATAACTGTAGAGTTGTCTTTCAGTTTGTCATTCTGTTAGTTTTAGTTTTCTATATTTTGAGAACATTATAAGTGACTGCAAACTTAGAATGATTGTTTCCTGATGAATTCTTGAAATCTTTTATGTCTCATAGTGCTTTTTACCCTATGGTTTATTTTGAGTGATATTTATCTTGTGTCATAAATAGTGAGAGTGTTGCTCTACCACATTAATGCCAGTTCCATCTAGGCAGTAATTTAATTTTTTTTAATACTCTTCACCTATATAGGCACTCAGTTGTTGAATGGCTCAGTAAACATAAGGTGAAAATTAAATTAAATTTAGTTGGTTAGGGACATCATCATGTGTAAAAGTTTGAATTTAACATACTTCCTCAGTTCATGGTTTATGCAAGGATCCTCCAATGACTACTGGTTGGCTAGTTGGTTAATTTATCTCCTTTAAACTAGTCTCCTTCCCCTGTATAGGCAGCTGGTCTACTGTGTTTGAAATATGCCATAGAATTGTGAGTATCTTTGTAAAAGATGTAATGTTTTTTGGTGTATTCATTTTTATTTGCATAAATGGTGTGGTGCTAAGAGACCTCATTATATACCCTGCTTTTGAAATACTCAATATCATATTTTAAAAGTCCACTTATATATCTATATGTTTTTTAATTTTATTTATTTATTTGACAGAGGGAGAGCAAGCACAAGTAGGCAGAGCAGCAGGAACAGAGAGGGGGAAGCAGGCTCCCCGCTGAGCAGAAAGGCTGATGCCGGGCTGATCCCAGGACCCTGAGATCATGACCTGGGCAGAAGGCAGAGGCTTAACCCACTGAGCCACTCAGGTGCCCCAGTGTATCTATATTTTTAATGATGATAAAAGATTCAACTGTTTCAGCTTTTCTTAGTGTGCTTCCCTATTTATTCCCTGGACTATAATTATGAACTTGCAATTTATGATTTAAGAAGGAATATATTCAGTCTATAAATATCTAGTAATAATGAATATTATAAGTATTTAACAGTCTTTGAATCATTTGTCTAATTGTGCCCCCCCCCGTTTTTTTTTTTTTTTCTTTTTCTTTTTTAAGCTTCTGGAGTCGTCCTACACTCCCAGCTCACAGACGTCTTATGTGCTTGCTGTCTGGAGTAAAATTAATTTTATCTTTAGTCTCTCTTCCCTTCAGGTTGGAATATTGTGGTTTGACTTCCCTGTGTTGTCAGGATCTCTCCTCTGTTCTTAGAAGCAACCAAAACCTGATAAAAATAAACCTGAGACAGAATACTTTAGGGCACGAAGGAGTGATGAAGTTATGTGAAGTCTTGAGGTCTCCTGAATGTAAACTGAAAGTTCTAGGGTAAGTTTTCACTGGCTTCTCAGGGCAAAAGTTTCTTGTAACCAGGGATTGGGGAAGCTACTTATTTATTGCAGGGCTAAGGATCAACCTGATCGTGGATCCCTACGTATTCTTGAGGCCCTTACTTGTTTTTCTCCTATAGGACATTGAATTTTGAGACATACTGTAGCAAAGTAGTAATAGCTGAGAACTGTAAAGCCAGACTACCTGAGTTTGAAATCTAGCTGGAACTTAATAGATACATGAAGTTACACTAGTTTCCAATCTATGTTTTGGTTTCCTTATCCAAAAAAATGGGTGAAATAATAATATCTACCCATGGTTTATTGTGAGGATCCATCAGCCAAGTCAGTAAGGCAGTAGAGGTGTCTCCCTACTATCTGAAGGTAGAGTGTTCCTATGAAACCTTTCACAAGCCAAAATTGTGTAAATCAGATGCAGTTACCATTAATTTATATGGAAAATTTTTTGAGCATTCCTGGACCCAAAAAAATAACCTCTTCTAGGCTTTTCTGATACCTTAGGACATATGCACAAAATAAATTGATATGAAGCACAGATACCCACAGCCACAGTTCAAAGCTATGATGGCTTGGTGCTGAGGGGCACTGTAGGTCCCAGGGAAGGAGCTTGGAGGGGCTGCTATTGCTGCTTGGGTTCCTGCTGCCTCTGTAATGGCTTGCTGCAACCCAAATGCCAAATGCTATTTTTGCTTTTTACCTATGTGTGTGTGTGTGTGTGTGTGTGTGTGTGTGTTCAAAGCAAAAATCTTTGAACTTCCTTCAGTTATCAAAAACAGGTGCTAATGTAGCTCTCTCATAAAGGTGATGTGGTATAGCCACGACCTTTGGAAAAGCAGAGGTATGGTATCTGTATTGAGAACTGTGCATTTAACAACTAACAGTGTTATACGTTAGCTATTGTCCTCATTAGTAGTACTGTTTTGCTTGAGTAGAAAAAAGCTCTTGGGAGGATTCTCTTAAATTTTAATCTATTTCTATTTCTGCTCTAAATTCCATTTTCCTTCGCCTGCTATGTTCCCTTGATATATCACTCATACTTTCCTTGCCCCATTCCCCATGTTTGTCTCTACATCAACAGTCTTTCTCTGAAAAACAAATTCTTCAGAGAAATTACAGGACTGTGGGAAAACTGAGTACAAGAAGAGATATTCCCTTGTTTTCTCAGGGTGTGCAAAGAGGCGTTTGATGAGGAAGCCCGGAAACTTCTGGAAGCTGTGCAAGTTAGCAACCCACACCTTATCATTAAGCGTGATTACACTGATCACAATGACGAAGATGGTTCCTGGTGGTGCTGTACCTGATTTATAGAACCTAATGTTCTTTTAAAAAGTGAAATAAAGGCCTCAGAGTGACAAGGCTTGGGGGCTCTTAGCGTTAGATGCTTTGTGCCCAGATGGTGTATGATGTCTGTTAGATGTAGGTGAGTCATTTCTCTGTAAACTATCTGTGCTACTTCACATGGGGTTTGAGAGGCTAAAATAAAATGAAAAACATAAGCTCTGTGAAAGGTATAACATGTTTTTAATTGAATGTAGAGCTTAAGAATTCAGATGTGAGAAGCCTAGAAATGAGACTGGAGCACCAGGCCAGGGTAGATTATGTTAGAGCATCTGGTTTTCTCTCTCTCCCTTGCCCGGATGGCTTCCTTCACAGCCTCACCATCTCTGGCATGTTTTACTGGCATGTTTTGTGTTCCTGGAACCACTGGGTCTAAATAACTTGAGTGTTTCTTAGAATCCAGATTCTTGAGCCCCGCATCAGACTTACTGAATCAAAATACCTGGATGAAGGTCCTAGGAACTGGCATTTTAAATTATTTCCCAGGCAGCTTTTAGGTACATTACTATTTGAGAATGGCTGGTTTCTCAATTGAAATGGGAGTCTACATCCTCAGTGAACATTATCTGTAGCCTGTTGTGAAGATATAAGTAGATATAGGATTATTGGGATTAGACCTATTCCTCCATTTCACATTTGACAATCCCAAATGTGAAATCTGACACAGTAACATTTTCTGTGAAAGACTGTTTAAACCTTTTCAGAGCATCACTGAGGAAGGTAACCCTACTATTTTCTCTTATAAGGCTATAAAACTTTAATAGTAGAAGATAGCACTGCAAGGAAATTCACAGTCATATTATTTATGAATATATATGCATAAATATGAATATTTGAAAATTCAAAATTAAATTTAAATATATCATGAATTAGGGGCACCTTGTTGGCTCAGCTGATACAGCATGTCACTCTTGATCTCCAGGTTGTGAGTCTGAACCCCATGTTGGGTGTAGAGATAACTTAAATACAACTTAAATATACACTGTAAATATGACTTAAAACAGAAGTACAAAAAGACAAATATTAGGAATGTTGTAATTTATGTTATCGATTGATGGAGAAAGGCTAAATAATCACTTCCGCATATGTTGATAAGGCATTGAACAAAATTGGTTTTTGGTCAGGTACTTATTTCAAAACATAAGGAATTTTTACCTTGTACTATTAACAGTATACTAGAACCACAGTCATCTAAATTTTGGAAACACACCTGGTGTCACTGCTATCAGATAATCCATGGGCCAGGATTAGGAGTGAAGGCAGATGGGGATCTGGAGGCAGATGGGGGCTGGGGCCGACCTTGTGCAAGTGCAGGGTCAGTCACTGTCTTTAAAGTATTTATAGTCATTTATGGATATTTTGCATTAATGTTGACTTAAAAGATATTCCACTAAAATATTTATCTTGATTCTTGAGTCTTTCCCTATCTCCTTAAAGTTGTGCATCCCCCAAGTTACCCCCCTCATCCTAAATCCAGCCCTGGAGAATAAAGAGTTTGCAATTTCAAATAGTGTAGTTACAGGGTCAAAAGGGATAGTCAAAGATTCAAATAGGGTGATCAAAATAAACTTTGGCTTTGTTGGATTTTTTTTTTATTCTTTACATTTTCTTTTTAAGTAAGTTTATTTCATAAATTCTTATTTTTTGTTATTTGAATTTGTTCTGACAGTATGCTAACTCCTTAAGTTAGATTCTTACTGATTTCTAGCCTTTTTATTATAAGTATTAAAGTATAAATTTCCCTTAATTTATATTTTAGCTGAATTCCTATGCTTGAATACGGATTTATTTTCAGTAGCCTTCATGTCCAAATGTTTTCTTACAGTGGGATTTTTTTTCTGTGATCCATATGTCAAATAGAAGTATTTGTAATTTCCAGACTTAAGGGTTTTTAAAGTTATCTTTGTTGGGGTGCCTGGGTGGCTCATTTAAGTGTCTGCTTTCTGCTCAGGTCATGATCCTGGGGTCCTGGGGTTCTGGGATCTAGCCAGGCATCACAGTGGGTTCCCTGCTTGGCAGGAGACCTGCTTCTCCTTCCGCTCCCCTTTGGGATTATCTTTTAATCATACAGAACATTTGCACTGCTAGCTCACAAGAATTATTTACATTGCTATCAGTTTTCTACAAAATAATCTCTATACCCTTAGTTGTGAATCTCCTGATCAAATAGCAAATCAAGAGTCAAAGAACTGTTAAATTTTTTAATATGCCTCAGTTAATCTTTTTAAAAGCTTATTTGAGGGGGAAATTAATTTGAACTATGTAGCATCAAACAAAGTGGCTGGAAGGGCTCCACCCAAAAACAGAAGGAAGTCTTCTAGAAAGATGTGAAAGCAAAAAAAATTATTTGAATGGCAATAGCTTAAGCATTATAAGCTTTCTTGGAAAAGTCCAGTTGGCTATTTGTGATTGGTTGTCCTTAGGTTTCGATTTAACTTTGAGACATTTACAGATTTATGTTTTGATTTGCTTGGATATTGTCATGAGCATGTTATGAAGGCGCACACAGGAGTCTTTCCACAGTCTTAAAATTAACATAATTATAAAGCAGGTTCAGGATTCCAAACTCAGTGACATTTCACCATGTGATTAACAGGCTTCTTATAAGGCACACAAAGTAATGCACAAGACAAGTCCTACGACAAACTAAATAGGACAGGGGGTGGGAGGTTAACAAACCAAATGTGAAATCATAACATTGTTAAGTCCTTGGCCCCATTTAAGTGGGCTCTCAGGACTCACTGCTTATGTTCAAGGGGTGAAGGATCCCTGTTCTTTGCAGAGATCAATCAGGCAGAGCCTTCTGTAGTCGCTGCCTTTGAGAAGTAGTCAGGCATAAAGCAGTCAGTGCTTGGAGAGTCTTAACAGTTTGCTGCAAAAATCCTACTTTGCTAAAGGATTAACAAAGTCAGTCTTGGGCCCCCACTGTTTCTGTGGGTTATAAGTTGAGTGTGTCATCAGCTGGTGCTGATGTTTCTGTGGATTATAAGTTGAGTGTGTCATCAGCTGGTGCTGATGTTTCTGTGGGTTATAAGTTGAGTGTGTCATCAGCTGGTGCTGGTCTTGGTGGTATCTGGTCTCAGCTGAAATGCCCTAGGTGCTTGTGTCACTGCTTAACACAAACCACTGCTCAGTACGAGTGATGGCATCTTGCTCGCTATAGTAGGCTGCTATGATATCAGAAGCATTATGATTTTCATACTTGAGTTACCTTTAACATGGAGGCTAAAAGATATTTATGTCTCACTATCACCTCTGAATCTTGGTCTAGGAGCTAATGAACTTTAGGGAGGGAGGTGTAGAAAAAGGACAACAGTCTTCACCCAACCATGCTACTGTTGTTTATAATATATTTCAGTCTTCAAGCTTCCTTTCTCACAGCTCTAGAAATTTCCTAAGAAAACCTTTGGAAATTTCTAAGCAGGAAGATCAATGGGCTTATCTTTTGTCATACTATTTGGTCTTCTGTTCTCAGTTCCTGAAATTGCCTCAGAGCTATAAAGATGAAATGGGTGTCTTATTATTCATAATGAGCCTCTTCCAATGACAAGTTTATGTTAATGAGGTGACCTTTGGAAATCCCCTGAGGATGAGGGCCAGGCTGCCTGGGGAGCCAACCTTGATCTGAAGGTTAGAATTTTCAGTCACGGCACCTGATGGGGGTGGTGGGGTGGGGGGGACTGTTGTAGGTTGAATCCCCAATAGCCAGTGATTTAATCAATCATACCTATGTTATGGAGCCTCCATAAAAACCCAAGAGTGTTTGTAGAACTTCCAGGATGGTAAACCAGAACATTTGAACCCGCTAGTCCCCAAACTCCATGGGACAGAAGCTCCTGCTTTTAGGGACCTTGCCCTACATATCTCTTCATCTGGCTATTCATATACTTCTTCTGTTGTATTGTAAAAATCCAGTAATAGTGATGTCGAGAACAAAGGTAGGAAAATTAAACTTCCTTACAACTTACAGCCCATTGACAAGTAATTGGTACAGGCAGAGCGATCTTCCTCATTGCTTAGCTGCCTCAATGTTAATACTGTGTTAGAGGCAAAAAGCAACCATAGCTTGACACTTGACATTAGCTCGACCTCCAGGATCCCATAAAAATCCCTTTGGTAACTTCCTTTATCTCTACCTGCCCCCTCACTCCCAAGATATGTTAGCAGTCATCCTCCAAGCATATGGCCCACTGATAAACTTCTGAAGGGTCTCATGATTAGTTTTACTAGATAGTAATAAATGACCTTTTCCTAACAACAGCTAGCCCTCCAAGGTCCCAGAAACCTTGCTATCCCCAACTACCTCCTTACTTGAAAGTATATAATCGGCCATTCCTCACAACCCAATGCTGCTCTTTCTGCCCACAGTTCCTGTCTTTGGGCTTTAATAAAAACACCTTTTTTGCACCAAAGATGTGTCAAGAATTCTTTCTTGACTCTTCAGTCCCGAACCCCAGCATTTCATATCTGTAAGTATACTGATTTCCTGAGTCTGTGAGCCACTCTAGCAAGTTAATTGAACCCAAGGAGGGGGTGTTACCAAACAGTATTTGATGTTACCAAACTATCACAGGCACTAACCCAGAAAAGGAATGGGTGAGGCTCGGCCCGCTGCTACACCCAGCTGGTCCCTTACAGGGAATCCCAAGGGGGCTGCACACATTGAAAGCATGGTTCCTGACTGTGTTTGCCAACACTGTTGTTGAACAAACTCTGATAAACTTGTCCTAAGATAAGTCAGTAACTCAAGAAACAAGGGTTAAGAAGAGAAAGGGAGAAATTTATTTTGGGTGGCAGCACCTGAGGGAGGTGACAGGCTCAAGCCGTAACAACTACCTCTCCAACAGTAAGATAGACACCTAGAGTTTTGCAGACACTTTCGGGGTTGGGGCGTACCTGAAAGAGAGCAGGCAGAAAGCATGTGATCAGGGGTGGGGGTCAGTATATGTTCAGCCCATGATCTTGGGCAGTGAAGGGGACGTGTGGCATGTGATCCTCT